AAGCTGGGCTGTCAGCCAGCAAGGAGAGCAGCGGATGGGATGAAGGAGGTTTGCTAGGCTGTGACCAGGGCAGCAAGCTCTGCAAGGTCATTTGAAAGAGACGTACCACTGAGCCAGCGAGGCCACGTGCAGTCCAGGCCAGCCTGGTCACTGCAGCTGCCCCTGTGCCCAGAGGCCTGCCCCAGGCACATTTGGAGGTTGTTTGCAGGGCAGCTGGCCTCCCTGAGGCCCAGCATGTCTGGGCTGGGTCAAAGCATGAAGGGAGAAGATGGGAAGGGTGCCATTTAATGAAGCCCTCTGGGGAAAACGATGATGAAAACATGATAAGGTTTGCGTCCAACCCCTCATTTACCTCCCAAGATGAACTTTCCCCACTTGGTATCACTCTTGTCTGGAAACCGAATGCCTAAAAGAAAAGCAGAACTATTCATGCCTCTGGCTTGAGCTAGGTCATAACAGGGACCTGCTGGGATTTCTGAAGATCCCTCTGTTAAGCCTACAGTATCTCTCGGGGCATTTTTGAGATACTAAGGAGGAAAGTAGAGAGGAAGAGAGGAAGAGAGGAGAAAGGGAGCAGGATCGGGGAGGGAGCTGCTCCAGCCCCAGGAATCTGTACAACTTGCGCATTTCATAGAATGCAGATAACAGGTGGATATCTCCTAAAGGTAGACAACAGGTGCAATGTCTCTGTGGCCAGCAAACCGGGCCCAGGCCCACTCGCTTCTGGAGAAAGCAGAGCTCCAGTTCACCGCACATGACATTTCACAAGTTTAAAGCTCAGATGGATGACTTTGGCACTGCTCCAGCATCTCCCACCACACATATGAGCACACTGAAGTGTAGAGCTTACCACAGCAGCTTTCCTGTGTCCTCCTGGCTCCAGGGTCTTCCTGCCTACCCCATCAACGGGGCACCCCCAAGTCCATAGCTTCAACTTCAGTTTCTGCTTCTCACTCTCTCTCTCCATGCATCTTCTCTTATGACCTGCATCTCCAGCGCCCTGCAGACACTCTCAAGCCGGGTCTCCAGTGCTGCCTTCACTCTCCTCAGCACAAGACCCACCTACTAGAAGCCACTGGCCAGCCCTGCCTGGATGTTCTTTCAAATGACCTTGTAAGGCCAGCTGACCTCTTCCCATCATAAGCCTCCTACCATGGGCACACCCACACTCTCAGCCCCGTGGGACATCTGTGGTCCATGGGCACCTCGGGATCTGTAGGTCCTGGGCTGAGCCTGACCTCTTCCCTCTCTCACATACCAGGTTCCTCTGCATGTCACTGCTCCTGCCATGGATCCCGTCTCTCAGTTCCCACCACCCAACCCTGTCACCTTTCCCCTAGTTCAGACCTTGCCTGGATTACTTCACTGGTCTCTTAACAGGTTTCCCTGACTCCAGTGTTTGCCCGCCAGCCCCCTCTCCATGCTGCCAACGGGTAAATTTGACCAAGACACCCACCAATCTCTTCATTCAACCCAACAGGTGGTTTCTTTGGAGAGAAGCTGCACCTCTTTGCTTGGAACCCAGGGGCCCTCCAGGCTGCTCTTATTTCTCCCACACTGTCTGTCATCACTGCCCACCTCAGACCCGTCATGCCAGACTCTCCTCATCAGCACATCCTGGGACCCTTCCCATCTTCTCTGACCTGGCTGACATTCTCTCACTCCCCCGCCCCTTCTAGCAGAAGCAGAACCAGACACCCCTCCACGGCAGCCCCCCAGCCCACTGCATCCTCTTTCCTCCGCCCCATTATGTCCTATTCCCTACGTCCCACTGCACCCTCTGCCCTCCATCCCAGTTTGTCTTCATCTTAGCTGTTGATTCCTGCCGCTATCTCTTGCACCACATCTGCATTTCTTGGTGGAGCCAGCACCCAACCAGCCTTTATCTCCAATACTCATACACAGCCTTGTACCTGTTACCTCTGGCTACATTAAGAAGTGCTTGTCAGACTGAAGAAGGACTAGCCACTCTACACCTCCTGCATGGTTTGCTTTTTTTTTTTTTTTTTTTTTTTGAGACGGAGTCTCACTCTGTCGCCCAGGCTGGAGTGCAGTGGTGTGATCTCAGCTCTCTGCAAGCTCTACCTCCCGGGTTCACACCATTCTCCTGCTTCAGCCTCCCCAGCAGCTGGGACTACAGGCGCACACCGCCAGGCCTGGCTAATTTTTTGTATTTTTAGTAGAGATGGGGTTTCACCATGTTAGCCAGGATGGTCTCGATCTCCTGACCTTGAGATCCGCCCGCCTTGGCCTCCCAAAGTGCTGGGATTACAGGCATGAGCCACCAGGTGTATACGTTTTAAATGGAGTAAGTTCTGAACTCAATGTGTAAAGCAAAAATCACACGCAATCAGCACTGCTTAGGAAAGTTCTTCTCAAGTTCCACAAAGTTCATGATAACTGGTTTGAGGTATACCACTGTCTTTCCCAAAGGACACGCTACCCACAACTGTTTTCCTATAGCCTCAAAACAAATCCCTATTTCTTGAACTGATCAGCAGCAAATAAGTTAGTTGGCTTATGGAGGAGCCATGTTTGATTAAAAATGTGTTGCTGGATTTTAAATTTTTTATAGTTGATCTTTTCTTGCCACAGATGGTCATGTTCACATAAATCAAGAGTATGTACTATGTTCTTATATAGTACATATATAGGCAGAGACTTCTGGTGACCTCGGTCTAGGGCCTGGCACCCCCTGATTTTCATGCCCGAGACCCTTCACTCCTGTATCAACAGAGAAAAAACTTTCTGAGAGCATGGATGTGTGACAAAAGGTTGGGCAGCTCAGGGGAAATCAAGTAACTCCCGTATGGTGAGTTGTACTAGGTCTTTCCCCAAAAGGGCAAGGAATTCTGCACTGGCCACTGCTGCTTGGCCACTTTCTGGGATAGAAATGAAGCCCTTCCAAGGACAGGTCTATATAAATGATGAGGAAGTTTCAGTTGTATGAAAAACTAGGAGGAAAAATATTCTAGGCAGGGGGAACAGCAAGTGAATGAGCCTTTGGAGTGTTGGAGTAGAACCAAGAAGGCTAGGAGAGTGGGTGGCGGGGAGAGGAAAATGGTGATGAAGAGGTGGAGGAGGGCAGTACCAGACCTGAGGACCCCTGGGATCATCTAGATTTTACTCTGTGGCAGCCTTAAGGAGGTCTCGAGCTAGGGAGAAATGTGATCAACATTTTTTAAAGATGCTTCTGATAAATGGTTATGATTACTTGCTAATTTGATACATTAAAAACAAAATCTTTTAATTTTAACTTGCATTTTTCTTATTGAGATAACGCATCTTGTCATATGTTTCAGTATCATTTCTATTTTATTTTGCGTATATAAATTGTGTCTTTGCTCATTTGCTCTTTTGTTTGTTGACCTCAGGAATCTTTTACATATTTAAAGAGATGAGCCTGTTGTGATAGGAGTGGCATATGTCATATGTGACAGTTTGTCATATATCTTTTGACTGTTTCTGGTGATTTCTTTTCACTGCAGATTTTATTTTTATATCATTAAACGTATCTTTAAAATAAACGAGAAATACAAACTGGAGAGCTACTTGGGTAGAATGACCAGTAAGTTGAATTTTGTTTGTGTTTTGCCAGAGGTGGCTTAAATTCTTTTCATTACGATTTTTAAAGAATGTTTTAAAAATGGAATAAATTAGAGGGTATGTGTCTCAGAGGAATATGCCCTTGGGTAAAGGATGTTTATATCATGCTTTTACACATTTCACGTCTTCCAGACTTAAGCTCATCAAATTGCGGGGGTGGGGGGCGGGGCGGGGGCAGAAAGTGGGTGGGAGGATAGAGGGCTCAGAGTCTGAGAGAAGTGAACTCCGATCTTCATCCCCCAACCCCTCAAGGAGGAGGGTGGGGCGCAGACCAGGAAACCAAGCTGGGGGAGGTTAGAGAACTTGCCCAAGGTCACACCACGAGCTGGTGGTGAAGACAGATTCGAACACAAGCCTGACTCCAGAACTGAGAGCTCTCCACCTTCTCGCGACAGCGGTACAGAAGTGCCCTCCTCTCCTTCCTATCGGCAGCAGCCTGCGCTTGGCCATGGGCCGGCGGGAGCAGCCACTCCCCCGGTTCTCCCGTCAGTCAGAGGTCGGGGGCTCGACGTCCCCTCCTGGCTTGGAGCCCCTGGCACTTACAGAGCGACCAGGGCGCACACATTTGCCGCGCTCAAGGCTCTGGCCCCCTACCTCCTTCCCAGAGCCCCGCGCCCAGGGTTTCCTGAGCTCCCAGCCCCCTCCCTTCCCGAGCATAGACAAGTTTGTCTTCAAGCAAGGCCAGGAACTGGTCCCCGAGTCGCTCTCGGGTCAGGGGACCAGCCTTACTGCCCCAGCGTTAGGAATAAACGGTAACAACAGACACCGGTGCTTATTGCGTGACCCGTGCTTTACTTCTACCTCTCCGAATACCCCGGACGAACAGATCCCCAGGAATTATTGTCCCCATTACACGGAGGAGGGAACTGCTGCAGCTCCGGAAAGTTGGATAACAAGCTTGGGCTCGCAAAGCTAATAATAATACTAGCTAACATACGATTGAGTGCTTCCCGTGTGCCCGGCACATGCCTACCTACGAGCACCATCCCATAGATCTTTCCAATACCCCTATAAAACATGTACAATTATTCCCATCCTACGGATGAGGAAACAGAGGTTTGTCGCCCTGTCCAAGGTCACCCAGCCAGTGAGTGACGGATCCTGGATCCAAACCCAAGCGGGTGAATCGGGTGGCAGTTTTTTGTGCGTTGTCCACTACGCAGAGAAGCAAAGGGCTTAGAGAACCCATGATACCAAGGGCCGGGCCCCAAACGCCCCAGGGCTGAGCGCAAATCAACCTTCTCGAACTGCCACAACCTGCAGAGAGGAATTCTCGGGGACTGGGACGCCAGGAGCGCCAGCTGTGTCGACTGCTCACCCGCACAAAGTCCGTGCAGCCGGATCTAGGCTCCCGGCCCCCGCGCGCCCCTCACCAGGAGCTGGAGAGTACTCACCATAAACGAGAGGGCAAGCGCCTCTTCGGGAAGAATCCCCAGCGCTGGCAGGTCCTGGACTCCCGGGAGAGGAGTCTGCTGCCGCCGCCGCTGCCCACTCAGGGGCGCCCG